AGAATGATCTGGAACACAGAGGCGCTAATGGCCCCTCGTCTTTCTCCTAAGGCCACCCTACAGAAGGCAGGAGTCACGTTAAACTGTGCTTCTGTCAGCAAGCTGAAAGCTCTGGGTCTCTGACGCAGCTCTCAATTGCAAGCAGGTCTCTCTCACTGCACCTCATTTGCATCTGGGACATCAATTAGCATGTTTGTTGAGGCTAATTGAATGAAACTCAATCATAGCTCTTAATTGCTTGACTATGTGAAAAGAAATCACATTAATGCAGCTAATTAAGTGTACGGCAATAGATGCAACGTAATTAGGAGCAAAACGTAAAAAACAGGGGACGGCAAAGGTGCAAGCGCGGTGCAGGGGGACAGCGAGCATGGCTGCTGTTGGCGCATTCTGAACGGGTCCCTTTGCTCTGGTGCCGGCTTGGAAAAAAGAATCCACATGATAATCGTGGACAAGTTGAGGAGAAAAATGCAAATAGGTTTGCAATTACTACTTTTTCAAGCTGTTGAGGGGCGGGAGATGGCACCTCTGGGGGGCCTGGCTCTTGAGTGGGCCCCAGGGACTTGTTAAGTGCTGTTTAAAAGTACTTGGCTTTGAATTACCCTCATGCCTTGTTAAAGGTTTTTTCCCCCTTTTATCTTCGATCAGCATTTTCTGCAGCTAACATGGAGAAGGGTAGCTGAGTGGTATTTGCATATCAAAATAAGCTTGCTGTCTTTATTTTACCCAGCAAGGTCCCTGCCTCACACTCACCCATGATCCGCACATCCTGTCTGCTTCTGAAGACACCACATTGTTTAGTGATCCCAGCTTTAATTCCTCAAGTACCAAGCCAGGCAGAGATGAAAAGGCCATGTTCTTGCAGAAGCTGGATCAAACTCAGAGCAGTTTTTCTCTTGGGAGAGGAAGCAAGGCAGAATGGAAATACAGGAGTTGCTAGATGACTATTCTGGTTTCCATCCTGTTGGTTGATTGGTTGGTTGGTAGATAGGTTGGTTGTTGGATGTGTGTGTGCATGGACACAAACCTGCAGAGGAAGTCAGGTGTCTCCTCACGTTTCTCCCCGCTGGAACACAGTGTGTCTAGGCAGCTGACCCAAGGATCCTCCTGCTCCCACCTCGAGAAACGAGATCATAGGCAGACTTGCTGGAGGTCAACCGCCAGCCACCCTCACAGTCCTCCAATACTCAAGTTTCTTCAAGCCAATGCTGCAGTTTCTCACACCGCAAGAAAACAGATCGGCCAGCCCATGCTGGGCTCAAGATAAATGTCTTTTCTCGTTGTGTTCAGATCCAGAAAGCAGACTCTACATTTCTACAATAATTTTAAATAAAATATTCTGGTTATTGTATGTTAAAACATGCCTATTAAAAGATCCCATGCTGGGGCTTAGTCACTCTCTGATTAGCCACATTGTGGAACTCATAAGCAATAAATGCTCAATTACACTCCTGTTATTGTATTTTAATTTGTCAAGAATCGGCATTAAAGGAGAAAGTTACAGGAAGTTGGTATTTGAGAGGAGCGACTGCACAAGAAGGAATTCGCTGTGTGCAACCATAGCAAACACTGCTTGGAAACTTGGGTGTGCATGTGGGTGGGCGTTAACGGCGGGCAGTAGAGGTTAGAGAAGAGCAGCCTTTTGTGTTTTCCTGAAGACCTGCCCTGGCTGGAGTCCCTTTCTTCCCTGACAGACAAGAGTTTCACTTACTGTCTGCAGAGCCAGTTTTCTCCCGCCAGAGTCCGAACTGTCCTTCAGTCTGACCTGATGATGACTTCTTCCACTTTTGATCCACCTCCTACCATCGTGGGGGCGGGGCATGGAAGATACAGCTCACACCATGGTGACCAGGAAGCAGAGAATAAATCCTGCAAAGGCTTTACCCATTGTGCTACTGTGTTCATGGCAGGTCCTCCCTCTTCAGCTAAGTCTTCAGGAACTTCCTGTCAGCATACTTAGAGGCTCAGTTCATCTCTGTCCTACACACTTCTCAGCATAACCAAGATGGCAGGCAAGGCGGCTTCCCAGTACCTGGTCTGCTGGGCTATGGACATTCTTTTGCAGTTAAATTAGATGGCTTGCCTCTTTCCTCGGAGTGAGGACAGACTTGTCATGACTCCCACTCTATCAGTATGCGTCACCCTGCTGATCCCCAGCAGACTAAATCTCTGACCTCCCTGTTTTGTGTGTGGGGGTTATCTGTCTTCGTCTCTTACACCTAGGAGCTCAGAACAAATGGAAGATACATGGTCAATTCTTCTAAAGGTACCCCAACCTGAATTTAATCACTTAGGACAAACAGAAATTTCTGGGTCTGTCAAGAGTCCTATTTCCTGCTTCCTTCCTAGTCCTACTTCCTACTTATTGTTAAAGTACCTGAAACAGTATTTATGTGAGAGTAATTCAGGATGTATCCTTTTCTAATATGTGATGGGGTAGCATATTCAGAGTCTGTGAAATGCTGTGTCTGTAGACAAGAGGCCTCATTGAGATGGTGTTGGTGATGATGGTGGTGGTGATAGTGGTGGTGATGATGGGGGTGATGATGGTGATGGTGGTAATGGTGATGGTGATGGTGGTGGTGGTGGTGATGATGGTGATGGTAGTGATGGTGGTGATGATGGTGATGATGGTGGTGGTGGTGGTGGTGATGGTGGTGATGGTGGTGGTGATAGTGATGGTGGTGGTGATAGTGATAGTGGTGATGGTGATGATGGTGGGGGTGATGATGGTGATGATGGTGATGGTGATGGTGGTGGTGATGGTGGTGATGGTGGTGGTGATGGTGGTGGTGACAGTAATGCATGAGAGAGTTGGCAGGACCATGCTCCAAATTGTGTCACCTTTAAATCACTGTGACAAAATCTGAGATCACCAACTTTTGTGGGAGAAAGTATTATTTTGGTTTGTAATTTCAGAGACTTGAGCTCACAGTCACTCCACCCTGTTGCTTTGAGCCTATAGCAGCACATGGTGGCAGGGGATACCTACTCATCACACAGCAGCAGGAATCGGGAGGGAAGGAAGGACAGACGGAATGAAGGCAGGCTTGCCTCCCAGTGCTCATTCAAGAGCACACCTCTAGGGACCTAACCATCCCCCACGTCCCATGACTTAAAGTCTTACACGACAGGAGCACGGCGGGCGGACAGTGAAGCTTTTGGCACACAGCCATTTTTCAAGAATGCTCACACAACTTTTTGACCTGACATGCTGTCCCCAGGTATTGTGTTTGTTCCGTTGTATGGTGGGTTGTTAAGTGACTTAGCCCAGACTACCCTCTGATAGTCGCAGGCTGCTGGCTGCTGGCTGCTGGCTGCTGACTGCCAATACGCAGGAGCCAAGGATCTGGAGGAGTTGTCTCTAGGTTTTTGTTCCCTTTTGTTTTCTTTCTCTGGGAAAGTGTGACCAGTTGCCTGAAAAGAAGCATTTGAAGGAAGGGTGGGATTTCTACTTTACCTTACAGTTCCAGAGGGACCCAGTGCATCAGAGCAGGAAGGCTCGGCAGAAGCGGGTGGGTGCTGGTCACATTGTGTCTGTCCTCAGGAACCAAAGGGAACAGGGAGTGAGGCCATTCGGTGTTAAAGCTTGTCTTTGGTGACTCGTTTCCTCCAGGAAGCCTTCACTTTCTAAAGGCTGCACAACCTTCCCAAACAGCACCCTGAGCCCGAGACCAGTTCAAACGCACGAGCCTGTGAGGGCATTTCTTATGGGAGACACAGGATGAGCATTCTTGTTTGTCCTTGAGATTGTATTTCAATTATAATTTCCCTTTCCTTTCCTCCCCTCAGACTGTCCTGGAAGCCCCACCTGCTCCTTTAGCATCAGGGCCTCTCTTTTCATCAGTTGTTATTGCACGCATATATGTATCTGTATATACGCATACACATCCCCAAATAAAGTCCATATGATGTTACTTGTCTGACTCTTTCCAGGCTGACCATTGGCAATGAACAATCAGTTGGTGTGCTCTTCCCTGGGAAAGGCCACCTCCTCTGCCCCCAGATCTCCTCCATCTCCTGTACTGAGGGCTTGTGCAGGGTTGAAGACTCATGGCCTTTTCCCATGCAGTCTGCTGTGTCTGTTGGTGTTGTCCTTGTTCAGTTCACAATTAAATGATCATGCTGGTGACTTTGCAGAAGTGGCTTCTGATGTTAATAGGAAAACCTGTACATTCTTGTCAGTGCCCACTGTGAATGTGTTGTTGTTGTTGTTGACACCTTACTGCTCGTCCCTCACATCCTGCAGTCATCTCCAGGCTTTATCTTAGTTGAAATACCATGACCAAAAGCAAGTCAAGGAGGAAAAGTTTTATGTGACTTACACTTCCACATTGCTGTTGATTGCTGAAGGGCATCAGGATAAGAACTCACACAGGGCAGGAACCTGGAGGCAGGAGCTGAAGCAGAAGCCATGCAGGGATGCTGCTTACTTACTGCCTTGCTCCCCATGGCCTGCTCAGCCTGCCTTCTGGTAAAAACTAGGACCACCAGCCCAGGGGCGGCCCCACCCACAGTGGACTGGGCTCTCCCGTCTTGATCAGTAATTAAGAAAATGCCTTACAGCTGGATCTCGTGGAAGCATCCTCTTAATTGAGGATTCCTTCTCTCAAGTAAATGTAGCTCATGCCAAGTTGATATAGCCAGCACGACTTAGTTACATCCTTAAATTTTGGACACTCTTCTCATGAATCTCCCCCTATCCCTGTGAACTATTTCTCAGAATTCACAGCACGAACCCAGGTTCCTAAACTGCATCCTGGAAGCAAGAGTTCAAAGAACTAAGATCTTGTGATGATTGTTTCTGTACCTCGTTCCCAGTCCTAGATTAGGTCAGCCTGATCTATATGAAGATTAGCCTAATGTAGACGCCTAACCTGAGTTTAAATAAGAAGGATGTTGCCCACACCCTGCAGATGAACATGGCAGACACAGGATCACAGCTCGTGACATCAATAGGATCTTGGGTCCCATCCTTTCTCTAATCTCTCTTCACACAGGATTACATGCAGAATGTCCACGGCAAAGAGATAGACCTCTTGAGAACCACTGTGAAGGTGCCGGGGAAGAGGCCGCCCCGAGCCACGTCGGCCTGCGCACCGATCTCCAGTCCCAAAACCAACGGCCTGGCCAAGGACATGAGCAGTTTACACATCTCACCAAATTCAGGTAAGCTCAGCAGCCTTGGGTGCACCTGAGGAGCCGAGTGCTTCCTGCTGCAGGTAGATGGTTAGCATCAGGCAGGCTTGAAGCCATGTTCCCTCTGAGCCTGTGTTCTATGGTGGCAGGCAAGCCACAGCTGCACAAACCTAAGTGTCCAAGGCGGTGCTCCCAGGCTGGGTTGAGAGCAATTTTGTACGTGGATCAGCTAGTTAAGGTCATTCAGAGGTAGAAGAATCAGTTGTAAAAGAAGAATGCCTGGTAGCTACACACTAAAACTGGAGGAGGCTACAAGCAGCCCCGCACTGGGCTGACCTGTCTGCTGCTGTCTCTCTCCCGTTAACTAAGCAACTTTGTTCTCGGTTCTCTTTCAAAGAACTTTGTTTGTTTGTTTTCATTCAGGATTAGAGGACCTTGTTTTCTGAGAATCTGGTGTGGTGAGAACTTCTCAGCCTCTGTGCAGTCTGCATTTTATTTGTTTTTACCGAGTCATGTTGTAAGTGATTGGCAGCCATTTTGGCCCTCCTGTGATTGCTTCTCAGGAGAAAGCAGGTAAAGAGCTGAAGTCTTCTCTCAGCACGAGGAATCTCATCAGGAAGGTTCCTTGTTCCACTGACAAAAGGCTCCTTCTCTCACTTGGTTCAATAGTCTCAGGGTTTTTTCTGCAGATGTTTGCATGTGTATTGGCTTCTTGGAACAACGGGCTTCTCGATTCTGAAACACTGGGTGCTTTTACAGTCGGTGTGATGAACTGCACAGGGGTGAATGGACATTAATCTAAAATGTCACGTTGCTTTTTGCTTTTTGCTTTTTGCTTAAGAAATCAAGGCACTTGGCTGGATTTGCGTTCTTAGACTCTAAATTATACTCTGCAAGTTAAGCTCCTTGGGCTTGAAATTGTTATTCATAAAACACTCCTGTGCGAGGAATGGCCATGTGGAATGACCATGAGGAATGGCCATGTGATGGACTTTGAGCTAAAAGTAGTTATTTGTAGCTGTTTGCCAAATAATTGAACGTGATAATTGAGTATACTCTTTACTCTTGAGTTCTGCTGTCTTCACGGTTTGAGAGTCTGGGGTTGAGTAGGTGGAGTGCTTGGTCCCCATGGTGATTTGTTGTCACTCAGTTTCCCTGTTCTGTCTGTCTGACCTGGGGTGTGCACATACTAAGCTTCCTCACTCAACAATTACTGTGGGCAGCCAGTAGCCTTCAGTAGTGTAGCTCAGCCCGTGAGCTCTGTCAGGCTCGTATGTATTTCCAAAATAACCTCTAGAAATACCTCCTATAAAGTACCCACCTGGTACTGCTTTTAACTGTCATTTTCAAAATAAACAAAATAGAGTAAAAACACCCCATGCTGGGTGTAAGGTTTCGTCTCTTCTGTCAGTTGTGAATCTCAGTGACTCTTGGACTTATTGCCCATGTATGTTTTGTAGTTATTTTATATGTCTCCTTTTTATGTGTTTTAATGGGTTCTTTTTTTGTTGATATTGGAAAGTTCTTTATATGTTAAAGATATTGGTACTTTAATAGTATGCACAAAGTTTAAATATAATATTTTATTTTTGCTTTTTACAGTCTTAAATTTACACATACAGTGTCTTTTTTTTCTTTTTTCATGTGTCTTCTAATTGTGACTTAGCTCTGTGGTTTCTACATTGAACTGTTCAAAAATCCTTTAGTGGTCTGAAGTTGGTTTGCAGGTGGCATACATTTATTTCCACGTTTTATTATTCTTCTATTAAACCCTTTTAAAAAATAACTTCCAATTCACCTTCGATCTGTTTGGATCCATTATATCTGATAGAAAATAATAAGCAAATTGTCAATTCTGACAGCCACCTGTCCTTTCTGTTGAATGATCTTCATTAATTCTGCATCTTCTCTGTGAACTGAAATGTACTTTCCGGGGTTTCTGTTCTGTTCCATCCACTGCTCTCTGCAGGATGTCTTATGCTGCATTTCCACCACAGTGTGTTACATTAGACTTAGTTCAGTATGGCAGCGAACACCTTAACACCCATCCTTGACCTCCAGTCTCCCGAGCTGTTGCTACCTATTTCTGTTGTCTCTCCCCTGACCCTCAGAACAACTGGAAAACAAATACACCTCCAGATCATCTCATGGTGGGTGACATTTTTTTTTTGAGACAGGGTCTCCTGTAGCCTAGACTGACTTGGAGTTCAGTGCACAGCTGAGCATGACGTTGAACTACTGATCCTCCTGCCTCCGCCTCTCAAGTGCTGGAATTATAGGCATGTGTCACCACACATAGTTTATTGTGACCAGCATAGAACCCAGTCCCCAGCATTGGGTTTAATTACAGGCATGGGAGTGGGAGTGGGGGTGGGGGAGTGTAGGGGATTTGTCACTCTTTCTGGGCTTCTTCAGGTTGATTTTTGCCTAGTGGTATTTTGTTTTGTTTTGTTTTGTTTTGTTTTGTTTTGTTTTGTTTTGTTTTGTTTTTCCCCATTCAGATCCTACAGAGTTTGTTAAGCCATTCCATCTTCAAAATCTTCCAGCCACTGTACTGATCTTTTTCCAGGGAAATCTCTTACGTGACCTCAGTGGTTCCATAGACGAAAGCCCCTGGATTTTATTTTCATACCCAGCCGTGTAACCTAACTCATGTTAGCTGCATCAGCTACAGGACACATCTCATGAATAGAAGAATGTATTCCCAGCTTGATATCACAGTGCCTGCCTAACTCGGGACTGACTTAATTTCTCCCATCCAGTTTATGAGTTAGACACAATATTTTTTCCTGTGTCTTTTGTCTTCCGTGGTTAACCTGTCTGTCATGTGCCTAGCCTTGTTTATTGCTCTAAAGATGGGGTGAGAGGAGCAGTTCCAGGCTATCCCTCCAGGAGCCTACCACCTCAGTGGGGTCACTGCACCAAGCACACTGCTGAGGTCATTGCAAATATCCTTTGGTGTTGAGGGAACAAATAGAGCCTGGCTCATCTGCTGCTGGCAGGGTTATAGTTCTGTTGCTCTTGGTCTCTGTCTTGTTGTTTTTGTTTGGATGATTGTGTTTTGTTTTGTTTTGTTTTGTTTTGTTTTGTTTAGACAGTGTCTCTCTGTTTAGTCCTGGTATCAAACTCAGAGTCCTTACCTTTGCCTCCCAAGTGCTGGGATTAAAGGTGTGCACCATCACACCTGACTGGAGTTGTGTCTCTTTATATATTTGGGATATCAGCATATTATGTTCCTCAAATGTTGTTATTGTTTACTTTTATTCATTTTGTAACTTTGTTTCAATTTAGAGATTTTTTTTTCTTTTTCCTATGGGAATGTTGAAAGACTGGAACTGTTACAATCTTAATGTCCAGTTTTCCTGTGGCCCCATGAACGGGAATGAGCTGGGAAAAGCACGTTGTCATGGTAGCTTCCTAGTGAACCCCATATACCTCGTGCACCTCGTGTTTCTTGTGTTCCTCATGCTGGTCATTTCCCTCCTGCTCCTCGTGTATTTCTGGGATCGTGGTTCATCTAGTAGCATGCTTGCCTAATACACAGTGTGCAGGGTTTGATCCCCAGTATCACACAAGCTGGTTTTGGTGGGACATATCTCCCAGCACCTGAGATGGAGGTAGGAGAATCAGGAGTTTAAGGTCCTCCTTGACCTCACAGCAGCCTTGAGGACAGGGTGGAATATAAGAAACCTCATCTCAGCTAAGTCTCAGCTCATGGAGCTGCTGTCTGTGGTGGCTCAGCAGGTAAGCACTTACACAGAGCAGTTGACCCGAGTACAGTCCCCAGGACTCATAGGTGGAAGGAGAGACCCAGCTCCCACCAGTTGTCCTCTACCTCCACACACAATAAATAAATATATTTTAAAAGATTTTTTTAAAAAAATATCAAGTAGAAAAAGATGATTTTGATAAAGATACTACAGAAAAAAATTACCGCCATTGAGCAGGGCAGTCTGAAGTCAAACTCTGAGTTGGATGGAAAAGAAAACTTTGCAAACCAAACATAAAAACCTAAAAGATACCCAGATAGGAGAGCAGTCCTGATCTTCGAGAACCCTGGGTTGTAGGTGTGTAAGAGCAGTGCAGGGCAGAGTGAGCACTCCCTTCTCAGAATAACCCTGACCTCTAGATGCTAACTCTGAGCTGGATTATTGCTAGCCAATAAGAACAGAAATAAGGGCTGGAGAGATGGCTCAGTGGTTAAGAGCACTGATTGCTCTTCCAGAGGTCCTGAGTTCAATTTCCAGCAACCACATGGTGGCTCACAACCATCCATAATGGGATATGACGCCCTCTTCTGGTGGGTCTGATCACAGCAACTGTGTACTCACATTCTTAAAATAAATAAATCTTTAAAATAAAAAAAGAACAGAAATAATAATTTTTAAAAAGTCATTGGTTGGCTACCAATGTCATTAGTTGGAGATACAGAATGTTTTTGACTGAGTGGTTTAAAAAAAAATATGTAAGGATCTACTCCAGCAAAAATAAATGGTAAAATGGAAGCACCTAGAAAAAAGAAATCATTCACATTTGGCTGAAATCCCTTCCATGGCAACATCGTTCCCTCTTCTGAGGTGGTTTCCCTCAGGGTGTCCATGGAAGCTTCATTTCTGTTCTTTTAGCAGGGAGCTTCTGGGAGGAACCCTGAGCTGCCGTGGTAACTGGGATTTATCTGTAGCTGCATTTTGAGAGCCTCCTCAAGTTTAATTCCTAAAGTCCTTCCAAAGAAAGAGTTGAAATACCCTTACATGTTTTCCTTAATGAGTTTTAGCCAACCTGGTTTGGTAAATCTAGCTACATACATGAGACCTAGATAAAATTGTATCAGCCCTGGGGTAATCTGATGTTTCTGTACAAAACAGAGAAGCTTATGGCTAAGAGTAGCCCGTCTGGCATTAGAAGCATAGCACTAAACCCCATCCCAGTCCTCCAGTGCAGATCTGTGTCCAACCTCTGTGCTGTGGCCTCTGTGACATCCAGGGCCTTAGCATTGGGTTCTGACAGGTTAGGGTGGGGGAAGGATGGCC